TCCAGTGGCTTTATCAATACAGATTCTAGGACATAATTGGAAGACAGTATAACTATATACAAAAGATGAGGTAATCAGTCCCTCAACCTTGGAGTTGTACATAGTTCTACTGTCTTCAAGTTATGTCCTAGAATCTGTATTGATAAAGCCACTGGATGGCGAAACGTCTACAATAAAGATATCCAGATGTTGCACATGTGTCTTAACTTTCATATTGTCGGTATTTTATACCTTTCTTGCACAAGATGATGGTAGACAAGGAGATGTGCCAGTACTGCCAGCACGTTGTCCAGCGCCCCTAACACACTATCTTCTGGAGTGCCAAGTTACTGAGACACTCCGCAGGCAACTAGCACTGATGTCCCCTCCCGAAGTGGACCCAGAGATGACTGCGGCCACACTAGTGTACGTTGATAAATTAGATACATGTGCAACTCTTGGGTATCTTTATTGAGGAAACGTTTCGCCACACATTCTATTCAAGATTGATGGACTGACCACATCGACTCAAGGTTGAGGGACTGATTACCTCATTCTCCTCCTGTTCTTCAAGATTCTCCTTTGTATGGACTGATGAAGCCACTGTGTGGCGAAACGTTTCCTCAATAAAGATACCCAAAAGTTGCACATGTGTCTAATTTATCAATTTATCGGTTCTCTGAACCATTCATCTACATTTCTACTACTACTACTACTACTGCTACTGCTACTGCTACTGCTACTACTACTACTACTACTACTACTACTACTACTACTACTACAATATAATTTAATGAGGGTGACTAACTTCTTTTGGTAGTCTCGTTGCCTTCAGTGTGTCTAACATACCAACCATTGGAACTTGAGCAGTTCAGACCAGGTCAGCAGGTCATACTGGTCAGCTAACACTGCCCCCAGATACCCAGGTGTGGCTGTCAAGGCGGAGAGCCACTATTGTAGGAAGGCTCAAGACTTGTGCCAGTTGCAGCAAACGGAAGAAAGTTTGTGGTACGGATTAACAACTGATAGGTAAGCTCTCTTTTGAATATTAAATTGGTATAAAATACCGACAGGTTAGTACCCAGATGTTTCATCCTCTCGGTTCAGAGAACCGACGAGGATGAGAAAACGATGAGAAAACGTTTCACCACACAGTGGTTTCATCAGTCCATACAAAGGAGAATGGTAAAGAACAGGTGAAGTTTGAGGTAGTCAGTCCCTCAGCCTTGAGTCTATATGATCAGTCCATCAATCTTGAAAGTTTTTTTTAGTTTAATATGTTTATTATGCACCCCATACCCATCCTGTGGGCGGTAGTCAAAAGATTACAGAGGTACATAATTGGTCCAGGGACTGGACTCCAAAGTTTTGATAGCTGAGCAAGTTACAAAGGTAATGAACTAGATCTGGTCATAATCATGACCAAGTTACAAAGGTAATGAGCTCCAGGTAGAGCTGGTCACACTCATGAATAATTGCAAAGGTAATGAATCATAAACACATTAATCATGAGAATTTACAAAGGTAATGAGCTCCAGGTAGAGCTGGTCACAATCATGACAAGTTTCAAAGGTAATGAATGATAAACACGTTATCACATGATTAAAATCATAGACAAATTACAGAGTAATGAGCAGTAAACAAACATAGCAGGGAATTCATCCATTGCCCCAACAACAGATGTTGCTAGGTGCCTGTCTCTCCTCGGTAGACAGCCATTGCAAACAGCAGCAAGTTGCCCTGGGATCTGCTGCTTGCACGAGCACCATCGACCCTCCCCAAGAGGTCCAAGAAGCCAGTGACTCCGTTAGCAGCCCGATGAAGAGCTCCCCTAGGGACATGTCAGCGTCCTGGTGGACGCCAAGTTGATTGAAGATCCCAGGCCCTCGTGTGCACGGATGTTGAAGCTTGAGGAACTGAGTACACACTGCCTGTGGCACACCTGACAGCTGCCTCGCGGTCGAACTCCACGATGCTGTCCCTGTAGTGGAAGTTCCTGTGAGCCCGGCACTCCCTGCAGTGCCATCGCTGACATCGTGGGTTAGGGGGAATCTTGAAAGGAATACAGAATATGTGCGAAGAAGTAGCTTATATACTGTAGACAGGTGAGGTGCAGCAGTCGTAGGTGGTGGATAAGACACACAGGCAACATTTACGCAACTTTATTCCGAAACGTTTCGCCTACACAGTAGGCTTCTTCAGTCGATTACAGAAAGTAGGCGGAAGAAGCCTACTGTGTAGGCGAAACGTTTCGGAATAAAGTTGCCTAAATGTTGCCTATGTGTCTTATCTACCAACCTGTCGGTATTGTATACCATTTGATAATCAGTCATAGGTGGTAACACAATTGACCAATGTGGAAGTAGGTCATGACCTCTTTGTATAGTATTAGTCTTCAACTTGCCGGTTTTTAAAACCATTTTTCACACTGTATGCCATTCATGTACAAGACATGTGCAACAGTTAGGTATCTTTATTCCGAAATGTTTCGGCTACACAGGTTTCTTCAGTCGAGTACAGAAAAGTTGGTAGAAGCAGTAGAGATGTGAAGACGATGTAGTCAGTCCATCACCCTTGAAGACGTACGTTTGAGGTGGTCAGTCCCTCAGCCTGGAGAGTTCTTTTCCATAGTCTGGAACAGTTTCTCTCATGTATGCCTCCCAGCATACATGAGTGAGATTACCGATAGACCCCTGGTTGTCTTCAAGACCTCTGGTTGTCTTCAAGACCCCTGGTTGTCTTCAAGACCTCTGGTTGTCTTCAAGACCTCTGGTTGTCTTCAAGACCTCTGGTTGTCTTCAAGACCCCTGGTTGTCTTCAAGACCCCTGGTTGTCTTCAAGACCTCTGGTTGTCTTCAAAACTCCTGGTTGTCTTCAAGACCTCTGGTTGTCTTCAAGACCCCTGGTTGTCTTCAAGACTCCTGGTTGTCTTCAAGACCCCTGGTTGTCTTCAAGACCCCTGGTTGTCTTCAAGACCCCTGGTTGTCTTCAAGACCTCTGGTTGTCTTCAAGACCCCTGGTTGTCTTCAAGACCCCTGGTTGTCTTCAAGACCTCTGGTTGTCTTCAAGACCTCTGGTTGTCTTCAAGACCTCTGGTTGTCTTCAAGACCTCTGGTTGTCTTCAAGACCTCTGGTTGTCTTCAAGACCTCTGGTTGTCTTCAAGACCCCTGGCTGTCTTCAAGACCCCTGGTTGTCTTCAAGACCCCTGGTTGTCTTCAAGACCCCTGGTTGTCTTCAAGACCCCTGGCTGTCTTCAAGACCCCTGGCTGTCTTCAAGAACCCTGGCTGTCTTCAAGAACCCTGGTTGTCTTCAAGACCCCTAACTGTCTTCAAGACCCCTGGCTGTCTTCAAGATCCCTGGCTGTCTTCAAGACCCCTGGCTGTCTTCAAGACCCCTGGCTGTCTTCAAGACCCCTGACTGTCTTCAAGACCCCTGGCTGTCTTCAAGACCCCTGGCTGTCTTCAAGACCCCTGACTGTCTTCAAGACCCCTGACTGTCTTCAAGACCCCTGGCTGTCTTCAAGAACCCTAGTTGTCTTCAAGACCCCTGACTGTCTTCAAGACCCCTGACTGTCTTCAAGACCCCTGTTTGTCTTCAAGACCCCTGGCTGTCTTCAAGACTCTTGGTTGTCTTCAAGACCCCTGACTGTCTTCAAGACCCCTGACTGTCTTCAATCTCCTTGGCTGACAACAAGACCCCTGGCTGTCTTCAAGACCCCTGGCTGTCTTCAAGACCCCTGGTTGTCTTCAAGACCCCTGGTTGTCTTCAAGACCCCTGACTGTCTTCAAGACCCCTGACTGTCTTCAAGACCCCTGACTGTCTTCAAGACCCCTGACTGTCTTCAAGACCCCTGACTGTCTTCAAGACCCTGGCTGTCTTCAAGACCCCTGACTGCCTTCAAGACCCCTGGCTGTCTTCAAGACCCCTGACTGTCTTCAAGTCCCCTGACTGTCTTCAAGACCCCTGACTGTCTTCAAGACCCCTGGTTGTCTTCAAGACCCCTGACTGTCTTCAAGACCCCTGACTGTCTTCAAGACCCCTGGCTGTCTTCAAGACCCCTGGCTGCCTTCAAGACCCCTGACTGTCTTCAAGACCCCTGACTGTCTTCAAGACCCCTGGCTGTCTTCAAGACCCCTGACTGCCTTCAAGACCCCTGGCTGTCTTCAAGACCCCTGACTGTCTTCAAGACCCCTGGCTGTCTTCAAGACCCCTGACTGCCTTCAAGACCCCTGACTGTCTTCAAGACCCCTGACTGTCTTCAAGACCCCTGGCTGTCTTCAAGACCCCTGGCTGTCTTCAAGGAGCTGGACAGACACATAAAGTCAATACCTGACCATCCAGGCTGTGGCTCGTACGTTGGTTTACATGTGGCCAGCAGTAACAGCCTGGTTGATCAGTCCCTGATCCACCACGAGGCAGCGGGGGGCGATGACCCCCGAAACACCCTCCAGGTATACCTCAGTGATCCAAGAGGTATACCATAATTCCAGCCAACTCTACCTCAATGGAAATAAGTCCCTTTGACTTTTTTTGTGTTATCCCAGGTTATCTACACATATACTGCTATGTATGATAAAGTAACTGTATTTATGTATACCTGAATAAACTTTCTAATGGCAGAAAGGTATCCCATGTATCCTATAAATAAGAGAGAGCAGGTAAACCCGTCAGTCCCAAGTGAGAGGATTTGCAGCTCCTCCTGGGAGTTATACCCGCCATCATGAGAGGTCCAGGAGCTGCAAATCAACAATTTTAAAAGGCCCATGAGTCAAAAAATAAATATATTTGAAATACGCGGCTATAATGTGTCTTATGGATAGCATTCCCTAGTAAATTCCAATAATATTTTGTGTAGGTAGTAAATTAAAAGGGATCAGTTGTGAGAATGATTTATATCACAAATCCCCAAATAAAAATTTACAGACATAGTTTATCGCAAAACACAAAGTAAGTAATAATTATAGACAACAACGAGGTAAAATAAGGTAAAAATGTAAATGTAAACAAAGTTTTAAAAGAAGTTAGTGTAGGTGAGGGAGTTTTGGGAGGAGAGGCAAATAATGGCCAGAGTGAAACCAGGAATAATATTTTGATTAATTTTATACATCTCCAGGGCGTTATCCACTGTAAGTGTGTGGAGGGAGTATGATGGAGGGGAGAGGAGGGCAGTGAGGGAGGGAGTGGAGGGCTGGAGGGAGGGAAACACCAGTAATAAAGCAGTAAAGTCAGGGGGAAAAATGCCATAAGAACGGTGATGGTGAAGACCAATGCCGACCCTTGACTATATTAAGTTTTTTTTATTGGTGTGGGTGAGGTGGTGGGCGTGGGCGTGGTGTGGGCGTGGGTGTGGGTGTCTGCTGGGTGTCACGGGGTACATGACGGTTTATTATACTTTAATAAGTCCCTAGTGACATTAAACCCCCCCCCCCAGGGGAATAAACCAGTGTTTTACTAAACCCGGTTATCCGGGGTTTATTATATGTATTATATTATATATATATCTTATTATAACATCTACCTGCTAGAAACATCACGTAAAATATATATATAATAGATAAATCACCCCCCTCAGGTTCCTTAATGATGGTGAGGGGCTCTTGATCCAGGGAGTTGGATCTGTGCTCCAGTTCCCTGAATTAAGTCTGAATACCTTCCACCCCCCCCGAGTGCACAACCCAACGGGTTTAGCGCTCCCCCATGATTATAATAATCCTAGGTAATTTAGGTATAATTATACACATGTACTTATGTACTTATCAGTACCTAAGTAACTTAGGTGTCTAAGTTATGTTTGCTGCTATATATATCTTTATCTTATTGATAATAAATATCTTAAGCTTATATATAACTAGAATCATTACTAAAATCTATCATAAATGTGTATAAAGTATATTTATTGAATCGTTAAAATATAATTTATCTTAAGCGTGCGTCTCTATGGAGTCTTTATTTTATGCCTAAGTAAAGTTTATTTATTTATTTTTATTAACCATTATTTTCTTTTTCATTATGTTTTTCTGACTAAATAAAATTATTAGTTTAGAAAGACACGTAAGCAAACACTGACGTATTTATTAGAAAACGTTTCGGTCCTGAGAATTTCAAAATTTTCAGCTACCTGTATACAAAACAAATCATAACAAATGATGTTTGGGCAATAACGAGGCTTTTTCTTTGTGGAAAGCTTTAAACGGTGCAAAACAATCCAAGAACAACATTTATCAAACCTGTTTGTAAAAGTATTTTTTTTATAGCCTGAGACCTTGATCACTTCTCACGTTTTCTAATATGTCATAGCATTTGCTTTCGTGTCTTTGTAAACCAACTTGTCGGTATTTATTACCAAGGTTTATACCAAATAAAATTATTACCATTTAGTTGACAGCTGCAGTTATATTTGGTCCAGTTATTACTTCTTGTTAGAACAGAATGAAAATAAAATATTAATTTGAAGCTGTTAGTTATAGGTGTAGTACACAGGTGTGAATTAACCCGTAAACGGTTCAAACGTACATATGTAGATCTTTCTTGTTTTACATTTGAAAATGTGTAAAAAAAACTTTTATCTACATTTGTTTTTTGTTATATTTGAAAATATGTAAAAAAAAACGTAGATCTACTTTTGGAGCAATACGGATTTGAACGCCGATCTGTTTGAACCGTTTACGGGTTAATAAAAGCAACATTTTTACAAGGCCAGTAGTTTCGTGCTTTGTTTTGATTATAATAGTAATAATCCAAGGCCAGTATTATACTCGATGTTTCAGGCAAGACGAGCAATCACAGGACATTTATTGTGAATCTTTAATAGAATATAAAAGATTTTAGTATCCACTGTTTGAATAGTTAACCCTTAAACTGTCCAACCAGATCTACATTTACATGTGTAGTGCTTCAAAAGTAGATTACGTTTTTTTACATATTTTCAAATACAGTGGACCCCCGCTTTACGATCACCTTCCAATGCGACCAATTATGTAAGTGTATTTATGTAAGTGTATTTATGTAAGTGCGTTTGTACGTGTATGTTTGGGGGTCTGAAATGGACTAATCTAATTCACAATATTCCTTATGGGAACAAATTCGTTCAGTACTGGCACCTGAACATACTTCTGGAATGAAATAATATCGTAAACTGGGGGTCCACGTTTTCAGAAGTAAAAAACAAAAGAAGATCTACGTTTTTTTACATACTTTCAAATGTTGAAAAAAACGTAGATCTACGTTTGGACAGTTTAAGGGTTAAAGGAAAATCTAGATCTAGATAAAAGAATATAAAACTTAAACCGTCAAACTACTTTTCAACAAGTCATCGCTTATTTAAGTTTACAGCCGCTGTGCATAGAAAAAGTTGAATCTCTTATGGATAGAAAAGACAGAATGGAATAAATAATAATAATCTTTATTTCTACAAGTACACCTGGAGTATACGTAGAGGGGGTTCTGGAGGTCAGCGCCCCTGGGGCCCGGTACGTGACCAGGCCTCGTGGTGGATCAGGGACTGATCAACCAGGCTGTTACAGATACAACTTATACAGACCTTGCTGACATCAATAACATACTATGTAGAAAGCCCCTGCTTATTCAGAGCATTTTCAGAAAGGATTTTTTGAAGTTGAATTGGCCCAGAACATATGGACTTATGCTTGTGTTTAAATGTGGTTATGAGCAGGTTGTACTGTATTATATTTGAGCTTGTTATGTAAAGATCAGATCTAGCATATTTTCACTTCTAAAATTGTCATGTGATTCTCTGATACATATACAGTGGACCCCCGGTTAACGATATTTTTTCACTCCAGAAGTATGTTCAGGTGCCAGTACTGACCGAATTTGTTCCCATAAGAAATATTGTGAAGTAGATTAGTCCATTTCAGACCCCAAAACATACACGTACAAACGCACTTACATAAATACACTTACATAATTGGTCACATTTGGAGGTAATCGTTATGCGGGGGTCCACTGTACTACTTGGTTGTTTAAGAGTACCTCTTAAGTAGTTTTCATATACAGTACACTGCTGTGTCCATCTACTTATCCTAATTTACTTCACCCAGCTTATTCATTTATGATATTAGATTCATCTATGAACCTTGTAGTGCAGTGGTGGTGTGTTCATTCACATCTGGAAGTAGTTTGGAGTCTACCTAGAGAGCGTTCTGAGGATCAACACTCCTGTGACCCTAGTGGATGACCTGGTCATCTGCTGGTTGATCAGGAACTGACTTTAGGTACCTTTTCAGTTCTCTGTTGAACACAACCAGGGGTTAGTTGGTAATCCCTCTTATGTATGAAGGAAGCCAGGTTGAACCCTGAGTAAATCAGGACATGTTGCTGCTCCTGCTACTTAGTGTTAGATATCTAGGAGTTAGTAGACTTGTGAGTTACATCCTGGTGGATTACCTGGAGTTTACCTGGAGAGAGTTTCGGGGGTCAACGCCCCCGCGGCCCGGTCTGTGACCAGGCCTCCTGGTGGATCAGTGCCTGATCAACCAGGCTGTTGCTGCTGGCTGCACGCAAACCAACGTACGAGCCACAGCCCGGCTGATCAGGAACTGACTTTAGGTGCTTGTCCAGTGCCAGCTTGAAGACTGCCAGGGGTCTGTTGGTAATCCCCCTTATGTGTGCTGGGAGGCAGTTGAACAGTCTCGGGCCCCTGACACTTATTGTATGGTCTCTTAACGTGCTAGTGACACCCCTGCTTTTCATTGGGGGGATGGTGCATCGTCTGCCAAGTCTTTTGCTTTCGTAGTGAGTGATTTTCGTGTGCAAGTTCGGTACTAGTCCCTCTAGGATTTTCCAGGTGTATATAATCATGTATCTCTCCCTCCTGCGTTCCAGGGAATACAGGTTTAGAAACCTAACAAAAAAAAAATCACAGTGGTTTAAAAAGACATGAGTAAACCCCAGGACATTTATTAGAAAACCTTTCAGTCCTATTCCCTTTATCACAGACTCAGAACAATTTCTAATAAGTAAGTTTATTTAATTACAGGTTTACATCAGTACACTATCATACATAGCAACATATGATGCAATAAGATCACAGTAAACAGGTGATATCACAATATGCAAAACAACCAGTCGAAAAATAGCTCCAGGCACTTTCATGAGTTCTTACATTATCAAGGACTTGTGAAAAATCACAAAAGTGCTTGGAACTCCATTATTTTTTCACATTGGTGGTTTTGCATAGCAGTGTATACGTAAATTACCTTGGATAACGAAAAAAAAAATCAGACGGTGATTTATTTCCAATGAGGTCCTAGTATTTTGTCAGATAAGATAAGATTTCGTTTGGATTTTTAACCCCGAAGGGTTAGCCACCCAGGATAACCCAAGAAAGTCAGTACATCATCGAGGACTGTCTAACTTATTTCCATTGGGGTCCTGAATCTCGTCCCCCAGGACGCGACCCACACCAGTCGACTAACACCCAGGTACCTATTTGCTGCTAGGTGAACAGGACAACAGGTGTAAGGAAACACGCCAAAATGTTTCCACCCGCTGGGAATCGAACCCGGGCCCTCCGTGTGTGCAGCGGGAGCTTTAGCCACCAAGTCACCGGGCCACCTGTCTTTTTAAGCCACTTGTTGTTATCAGTTACCCAAGTTATACCAAGACTCACAATGGAAGTAAGCCACACTGCTTGGCTTTCTTTGGTTATTCTGGATTATTAAAGCTCTTATGTTACTAATCTAAATGAAATCTAGTTTTACCTTTTGGTTTACATAATCATTTTCCTAACCAATTTAAGTATAATAATAAAATTTATTTCTACAAGTACATGTACAGTGTATACAGACCTGACATCAATGATATACTACTATATAGACACTCCCTTGTTATGCAGAACATTTCGGGCAAATTAGGTTAATTTTGTCCCAGGATGTGAACTCGTAAGCCTTTTTGGAACCAAAGAAATTCCAACATCAGTGTGCTTGCAAATTATGAAAAAAAAAGAGACATTTTTATGACATGATCTTGGATTCACTAGAGGACAAGTACTATCTTTGACACTATCTGATGAGTTTTGAGAGTCTTACTTCACTCAGAGCCCGGCCATGGGCTAGGCTCGTCTGGTGCTTGCCTGGTCAATCAGGCTGTTGTTTGCCTGGTCAATCAGGCTGTTGCTGTTGAATGTGTGGAAGCAGTACTCAGTTTAATATGTTTTGCAGGACTAGGCTGATGGGTGAGCCAGTGGTGAGGCCAGGCCGTTCATCACAGCTGTGGGATCAACAAGCTATGGGTATCGGTCAGGCAACAAATGCCTCACCCGTCACTGCTGTTCATCACCACTCCCCCAGCATTGTGCACCCACCTACTTCCTTTGCCTCGGTTGCACACCTTTGTCATTCTCGTAAGTATTGTCTTGCCTGAGGAAGGGGGTAGGGATTTCCACAAATATATTACTGTGCATTGTTAGTAATCATGGCATGTGTGTGGTGTATCGTGTTATCAGGTTGAAAATTGAAGTGTTCAATGTGCATATCTACACATTATTTTCACATCATTATACATTTGTTACTACAGTAAAATGTTGACTTAATGGACTTCCGTTTAAAAGATCTTTGAACCAACAGACAAAATTATTGGGCGTGAGTATCCACTGGATACTCACACCCAATAATTACCTGTATAAGAAATGCTTATTACCCCATCATTTGCTTGTTTTTTCACTCATTTTGTTACAAGCCAAAAAGTCCATTTACTTTTTTCTTAACTTCCATAATGTTCCATTTGCTCTATGATTCTTAACTACAGTGGACCCCCGACTTATGATATTAATTCGTTCCAGAAGCTGTTTGGGTGCCGTTACCGGACAAATTTACTCCCATAAGGAATATTGTAAATTAGATTAGTCTGTTTCAGACCCCCAAAAATACACTTACAAAAGCACTTACAAAAATACACTTACATAATTGTTCGAGTTGGGAGCTGTTCGTAAGTCGGGGGTCCACTGTACATTAATTTTTTGTTTTATAAAATTCTTTCCATTATCTTTATCTTATCTTAGTCTTCATTCATGCCCAGGATTAATAAATCTTCTTAAGATAAGATAAGATTTCCTTCGGATTTTTAACCCCGGAGGGTTAGCCACCCAAGAAAGTCAGTGCGTCATCGAGGACTGTCTAACTTATTTCCATTGGGGTCCTTAATCTTGTCCCCCAGGATGCCACCCACACCAGTCGACTAACACCCAGGTACCTATTTGCTGCTAGGTGAACAGGACAACAGGTGTAAGGAAACGTGTCGAATGTTTCCACCCGCCGGGAATCGAACCCGGGCCCTCCGTGTGTGAAGCGGGAGCTTTAGCCACCAGGCCACCGGGCCCTTGACAGTGTTCTCAGTCATCTGATATTTCCTTACAAATGTTTTTCCTTTTTATGTATGTACAAAGGTTTAAAAAAGTTCTATCAGACATCTACATGCCTATAAACTTATTACTTGTGTAGTATATCTAAGCACTTGCTATCAATTTGTTTTAGTACATATGTCTTGGGTTGGTTATTGTCATTAACCTTTTGAAGGTGGGTCCCATTGTTCTACGGCTTTCATGCCCGGGTTGGTCCCATTCTACACTATAAGCTCGCTCACTCAGGTAAGCTGTGAGCGGTAAATTTGGGCCTAGATATTTGAGAATTGGTCTATGTAGTAAGTGTGGGAAACTGTGACCATGTTTTTGGTGTAAAACAGTGACTTTGCGGAGTATTTTTTTATAGTTGTATTCTCAGTTTGGTCTCATTTGAAAAAATGTAGGATATATTACAAAAATACGATGATTTTTATTGGTTTCAGGACTGAAAAAAGCTTGAAATTGAGCTCAAAGTAGCAGAAATATTAAATTTTTTGTTGATATAACAGAGTACACAAATCAAGTACTCATCAAGTAGGTTTCCATATTTCTAGTTTAATATACAGTGGACCCTCGCATAACGATCACCTCCCAACGCGACCAGTTATGTAAGTGTATTTTTGTAAGTGCTTTTGTAGGTGTATTTTTGGGGGTTTGAAACGGACTAATCTACTTCACAATATCTCTTATGGGAACAAATTCGGTCTATAACGGCACCCAAACAGACTTCTGGATTGAAATAATATCGTTATGCGGGGGTCCACTGTACTTTTAGGAATGCGTTGACATTATTTATGCAATCATTACAATAATGCACTAGTCTGCATAACATTAAATTTTCTATATTTTTGCATGAATGAAAATTTTAAATGGAATTCATGTGTAATACTGGAGAGGCCTAGGGAAGTAGCTAATGAATAGAGGAAATGTTATTTTGGTACCAAGAATGTTTACATTGTTTATTCTGGACCCTATTTTGAAATTGACGTTTCTTGAATTTTGTGTGAAATTGGCCAAATTATCAATTTCTGATGACTTTATTCGGTAGTTGAAATAGTTGAATGGGTGGTATCTTGTACTCGATCGATAGAATGGAAGACATGATAGCAAAATAGCCTAAAATCGGACTCAAAGTTTGCAAAATCACTGATGTGTAAATATCGTTGACACAGCAAAATTCACAAAAGCGTAATTTCGTTAGTTTTTTTGTCAAAACTATTACTTTTTGTATTTTTTTTTACCTTCAGAATAAGGTTCTTCACCATTTCATAAGAAAAAATAGCAATTTTTTTAATTTTTCGATCCTGAGAGCAAATTTGAGAATAGGAGTCCCGACTCTCGAAGGATTAACAAGCTGCATTTCAGCACAAGTATACTATTTACTTCATATTTATTTATTTATATATTAATATGTTACAATTGGTAGGAAAAATATTTTGATGTATTTAATTAATTTTCATGTTTATTATTTAAGTAATTTCAAAGTGTATTAGTAATTAACAAAAAAAGGCACAATACCGTGACTGGAACGATACACAATAACCCACACATAGAAGAGAGAACCTTACGACGATGTTTTGGTCCGACTTGGACCATTTACAAAGTCACACTGTGTGTGACTTTGTAAATGGTCCAAGCCGGACCGAAACGTCGTTGTAAGGTTCTCTCATCTATGTGTGGGTTATTTGTGTACTAGTAATTACAATTGCCTGATTAAGTACGTACTTGACTAGTGTAATGTTGATTACTGTGTTTAGGCATAATCCTTCTTGATCTCGGCTTCATATATCGAAACGCACTGATACAGTTCTCTTAGTTATTGAGTAAATTCTAAGGCTCTTGTAAAATTATGCATTTGTGAAGAATAAAAGATACAGTACATGTTGGAACATTTGTGAAGAATAAAAGATACAGTACATGTTGGAACAATTGTGAAGAATAAAAGATACAGTACATGTTGGAACAATTGTGAAGAATGAAAGATACAGTACATGTTGGAACAATTGTGAAGAATAAAAGATACAGTACATGTTGGAACATTTGTTGAAGAATAAAAGATACAGAATGTTGGAACAATTGTGAAGAATAAAGATACAGTACATGTTGGAACCAATTGTGAAGAATAAAGATACAGTACATTGTGGAATCAATTGTGAAGAATAAGAAGGATACAGTACATGTTGGAACATTTGTGAAGAATAAAAGATACAGTACATGTTGGAACATTTGTGAAGAATAAAAGATACAGTACATGTTGGAACATTTGTGAAGAATAAAAGATACAGTACATGTTGGAACAATTGTGAAGAATAAAAGATACAGTACATGTTGGAACATTTGTGAAGAATAAAAGATACAGTACATGTTGGAAACATTTGATGATAGAAAAGTACAGTACATGTTGGAACATTTGTAGACGAATAAAGATACAGACATGTATGGAACAATTGTGAAATATAAAATTACAGTACATTTGGAACATTTGTGAAGAATAAAAGATACAGTACATGTTGGAACATTTGTGAAGAATAAAAGATACAGTACATGTTGGAACAATTCATAAATAACCTGTACTTAGAAGAAATTTATGATTAATAATAAGAATAATAATAATAATTTTATTTCAGCATAATACAGAGGACCCCCGGTTTACGATATTTTTTCATTCCAGAAGTATGTTCAGGTGCCAGTACTGACTGAATTTGTTCCCATAAGAAATATTGTGAAGTAGATTAGTCCATTTCAGACCCCCAAACATACACATACAAACGCACTTACATAAATACACTTACATAATTGGTCGCATTCAGAGGTGATTGTTATGCGGGGGTCCACTGTACAGTGTTTGTACAAAGAAGGATTGGAACGTTTTCATAATTTTCCTCTCCTTAATGTAGGTTATTTGTAAATTAGGCATTTATAATTGTTAACCTCTCCAGACATTTGAGAACTAAATTGATGGTAAGAATTCACACCATAAAATAGGATTAGTTTAATATCTTTATTATGCACCCCATACCTGTCATGTGGGCGGTAGTCAAAGGATTGCAGAGGATTCAGGATATACTGTATACAAATAAAGGGGATTGAAATGTATCCCTAATAGACTGTGGGGCACATCAGAAACAAACCTAAACCTACCTCCTAAATTTTGTATTTTTTTTTTTTTACCACCGACACAGCAGTGTTTGTAAGACTTAATTGCTGATCAAGTTATCAGTTACAATTTGAATTTGTTGTTTTAAAAGGATATAATATAAAAAATTGATGACAAAAGAAAAATGGTAACAATGTTCTTGAAGTACAGTGGACCCCCGGTTAACGATATTTTTTCATTCCAGAAGTATGTTCAGGTGCCAGTACTGACCGAATTTGTTCCTCATAAATTGAGAAGTAGATTAGTCATTTCAGACCCCAAACAACCGTACAAACGCACTTACATAATACACTTATAATTGTCGCTTGAGAGGTGATCGTATGGGGGGTCCTACTGTACTTGCAGGAAGCAGCTTGTAAGGAAAGTGGAGAGTTTGATCCTCATTTATTTCTTAGCAGCCTGCTTAATACCAGCTGATTGGTTAGCACACTGTACTGAGAAAGTTAGTACAGACTAGACTTCAGGTGTATACCTAGGCATGCACTACAAGGTTGTCTGCTGCAGCTGAATCAACAGATTCCCATGCTTTGTGCCAATTTTCTTAATTAATAATGTCATTCTAGAATTATATGAGCATAAGTTTGAGATATGTTGTGTATCTTTATATGTGTATGCTTCTAGACTGTTGTATTCTGAGCACCTCTGCAAAAACAGTGATAATGTGCGATGTGGTGAAAGTTTGATGATGATAAGTATTTTCTTTTGGATTTTCTCTTTTGGGTCACCTCTCGGTGTAGACTGCCGACTTGTTGAAAAAAAAAAAAAAAAAAAAAAAAGTTTGAGATTCCTTGGTGCATAATTACCTATTTAGATTATGGTAGCATCAGTTGCATCATCGTGGATTGTGGTTTAATTGAAAATTTAAAGAATATTCAAGGGCTAGAAATCACCCATAATTTTCTGGACAGGCTAGTACAAGGAGCATTAACAAGGCTAATAATTTGAATTGCAATTATTAAACCCTAATTCAGCACAAATTTTCACACCATTGTGTATTAAATATTTTAATGAAGCAAAATAACAACATGATGTCTCAAGCATTTTGATTTGAAAACAAATATTTTGTCCAGTAATGGGAAAGATTTGTTTATTTAACATTCACGCCAACAGCACAGTGTGAAAGCTATCTGAATCTTAAGGAAGAAATTATTAAGCTGGAAAAAAGGTAACGAAAATAATTTTGGTATTGTATTTCAGGAGGAAGTTACTTTTAGCCAATTAGTGTAACTACCATATTTTCTGTCATACAGCATGCAGTTGTAACAAAAACATTTGAAAGTCACACCGTGTTGGATTCAGTCAAAGCAAAAATGACTATTAGAGTAAATGTTGTGTCATTTTTTTTATGTTCAGATAGACCTGTGGTCTGATGCAGCTCCCTGATCGACACTACCACCTACCCATTTTTTTTTTCTGTTACACATCTTATTCAACAAGCAACTTACATAAACAGTGGTACCTCGGGATACGAACTTAATTCGTTCCAGAATGCTGTTCGAGTGACAATACCAAACAAATTTGTTCCCATAAGGAAAAATGTAAATTAGATTAATCCATTTCAGACCCCCAAAAATACACTTACAAAAGCACTTATATAAATACACTTACATTATTGTTCGAGTTTTGAGCTGTTCATATCCCGAGGTACCACTGTATTATCTAAGTAAAAATGCAGTACAACTGAATCTTTAGGTGGAAAGCTTGGGTACAGTAAACCTTCAGTTTCATGGAAACTAGTTTCATTGACTTCAGAAATACAGGACAAAATCCACTGAGAAACTTGATACAGAAACAACATGCAGAGCCAGTTCTTTACTGAATTGTCCATTATTGTTATGATCATGGCAGAATAGTATCATCTCTAGCCATCGCTCTCCTCAAGCTACCCTTCCTTTACTTGCGTCAAACCTCATTGCTTCCCACTTCCCAGGTGCTGTTTAATCCTTATGGTTTACAGCTTTCTCGTAAATATTATTATGCATTATATTATCCTATAGCTGCTTATCAAAGGAAGATTATGGTGGTAATAGTAAATAAACAGTAAATATAAATGACTGCAAATTTCATAATGTTTAATACTCTAGTTATTTTACATGACAGAAATATGGTATTGTTTTTAATAGCACTTTGGATATCATTTTGAAAACGCAAAATAGTTATACGTACTACAGTGGACCCCCGGTTTACGATATTTTTTCATTCCAGAAGTATGTTCAGGTGCCAGTACTGACCGAATTTGTTCCCATAAGGAATATTGTGAAGTAGATTAGTCCATTTCAGACCCCCAAACATAAACGTACAAACGCACTTACATAAATACACTTGCATAATTGGTCGCATTGGGAGGTGATCGTAAAGCGGGGGTCCACTGTATATTTGGAATCAGGGGATCATTGAAGCTGTGATGTGTGCTCTCTTCTGACAAGAGTTATTTCATGAATGATGATGAATGCGTTTTCTTCCTCAGGCAATTCATTCACCCTAGGTGGGCCATGGCCGATGATATAAAAAATTCCAAAAAAGACAGAGGTTTAGAGGAAGCTTTCATTGTGACTCTCACTATAACAAGCTTTATCAAATCATTGATTTGATAAAGATTTACAAAGGGCAAAATCCTGTCAGAATAAATGTGCTCTACATTTCTCTCTCGCCATTATTACTGTCGCCAGTACATCTTGTACTCAGGATGTTGACAAGTGTCGTCATGACAGAAACCTCCATTAGTATGTTACATCTAGGGTTTACTCTTCCGGTTTTCTTTTGGCAACAACAAGTGTCTTGTAAATTATAGTACTTGTAATTATTGCAGCCTGGGAAGGGTGGATGATATACTGGAAGATTGTTAGTAAGGTTGATGTTGAGGGCTTGAGACTGAGGCATGATTAAGCAAAATGAGAAAATAAAGTTGGTAGAATTACCGACAATATGTAAAGTAAAAGGACACAAGTGCAATAATGTGACATTTTTTGTGGCAACATTTTGCTCACCAGGAGCTTTATCAAGCTTGATAAAGTTCCTGGACAGCGAAACGTTGCCACAATAAAATGTCACATTAGTTGCACTTGTGTCCTTTTACTTTACAGAATGAGAAAAGCAGAAAGGTAAAGGAGGGTGAGTGGGTGGCATGAGTGGAATTTCAGATTCCCTTTATGCTGGTGAAAGCTCTTGATTCAAAGAATTGTAGTTACCTTTCCCCTTCCTTGAATCAAATCTGATTACTTCGTGTCCCAGGCACTGTATGTCCCAACAAAAGAGTGGACTTGTCAATGGATGGGTCTACAAAAGACAAGGTGAACCATAGAGTTGAGGGGAAAAGGTAGGTGGTGCATTCAAGCATCTGTGGAGACAAAGAACTTTATCCATTAAGGCAAAAGGGCAGTGTATGAGAGTATTGTGGTACCAACACTTATATGGATGTTAAGCATAAGCTTTGAATGTTGCAGCGAGGTGGTTTGATACAGTGATGTCATGTCTGAGGGTGTGTGGTGTTATTATTATACAGAGATTTCATGGTTTGGAGATTAGAAGGAGTTGCAGGGTTACTAATAAGTATTAAGAATTGTGTCTGGGAAGGTGTTGTTGAGTTGGTTGTGGTTGTTAGAGTAGGATGGAGCAAAATAGGAAAGACTTAGAGGGTGTATAAATTGTGGTGGAGGAAGGCAAGTAGTGGTTGCCCTAGAAAGGGTTGGAGGGAGGGGGTAAAGGAGGTTCTGTGTGTGAGGGGCTTGGACATATAGCAGATGTTTGTGAGCATGTTAGATAGAAGTGAGTGCAGGCAGATGAGCTGTTGGAGTGTGAGCAAGGTAACATTTTGTGGTTAGCAAGACTTGAGTCCTGGAGGTGGGAACTGCAGTGCCTGCACTCTGAAGGCAGTGTGGAGATATTTGCAGATTGGAGGGGCATTTGAATTGGCAAGAAAGTGATGAGTGAATGTTTGGGTCACCCTGTCTCTGTGAGAGATGGCCACCTTGCTAAAATATAATAATAATAATAATAATAATAATAATGAACAGAAATTGATGAATTTTAGGTGCCCTTTGAAATTCTGTTTAAACATACCAGTTTTAGAGTAATGTTTGTAAAATTGAAGGTAGGTGCTTTTAGGAGGTGAGTTTAACATTGCTCCTTCCTTGGTTTAGAGGTTTATTCTGATGTTTTTACACTGCTGAACTAACAGGTGAGGGGAGTGTAGAAGTAATCTTTATAGAGGATTTATCAGGGGGATAACTGCTGTAATAATAAATTTAATAATAATAATATATTGTGATTGAGTAGTGCATGGGGTGTTGTAATTATTCATAAGGCAAGTTTTATGCTTTGAATTTAGGGTATGGTCTTTGTTCTGATGGTGGATAAGAATTAATTTAGTTCTGTAGCCATATCAGCAGCTTGGTGGAGAGGATACCTTTACAAATGACATTTGGCCCACACAGACTTCATCAAGTAACTGACAATAGAACCCTTGTGTGTGTGATACTTTGTCATAATAAGGTGTCCACTGCATCTATGTGTTATTTTCTTCACTTTGTCAAATTCTAGTGTATGAATATAGAGTACTAGAATTAGAATATATTAGGTGGGAGTGTTCCATCTTGTACTCAGTGGTTTGTGGTTCTTCCTCATGTAACATACAGCACTTTTTGAACAAAGGAATATTATTACAAATTTTTTAATTCACTAGTTTTAAATGCTGTGTTTACTTATAATAATGCTGATTGATAACAAAATTATTTACTGTGACTTTTTTTTTTTTTGTTAGCTTTCTATTTTTCAACAGAAGTTGGTGAGGTTGGGTGTAGCAGCGAGAGTGAAGTACAGCGTTGTGGGTCAGACACCATAAAGTTAGAACGTGGAGGTACAAGTGGAGCAGGGGAGGCATACTACCCTACTCTCCCTCCACATCATCCCCAGGCTATGGATGACGTGTCTCCTCCCTCGGGTAGTGGTGCCTTTTACGGTGGACCACAACCTTACCGCCCTCCTGATGGTTATTATAATTTGTTGGGGGGGCTGAGTGCAGCCAGTCCTGCACAATATGCTACCCCAGGAAGTGGGGCAGCTTTACCAGTGGTCTCACCCACACCATCAAAAGTTGAGCCACCTACTTACGTCGAGACTTCTCACACCCCTCTCACGTTTGCGGAGGCTGCTGCTCCAATGGACTTTAGTAGCAACCCTCCTAGTTTAAATTTTAGTGGTGCACCTTCTGCTCCATATGGAGCAGGTTCAGATTTCTCTAATGCCCAAGGTTATCCTCAAACTGCAACAAATCCTCTGAGCCTTTTAAGTGATGTTGCATTAGGGGGTGATGCAAGCAGTAGTAGTAGCATACACAGTGGTAGTAGTGGAACAGTTAGTAGTAGTAGTAGCAGCAGCAGTAGTAGTAGCAGCTCAGGGTCATCATCATCTGGGGGCAGTAGTGCCTGTGACAGAGGGAACAGTGAACTTCGAAGAAAGCGTGTACATAGTGCTGGAGCAGAAGGCAGTCGAGGAAAGACCCAGAGAGGAAGAGCAGAGCCTCGGAGAAGTGGCTGGAGTAGTTCTCACGCACTACAAGATGATGATAGTGAGGATGAGGAAGGAGAAATGTCATCTGGTGATCGAGGGGCAAGACACAAAGTTGACGATGGACCCACTGCACCAGACTTGCAGTTGGATTGGGTGTCTTCCTCAGAGTCTGACTCTGACACAGACTCATGTATAGAAGTGGTAAGTGTACAAAGAGGAGCAAGGGACAATCGTGCTGTGGATGTAGTTGATTTAACTAATGAAAGTGACGATGAAGTATTAGTGGCAAGTGCAGGACCACCTTTGCCTCCATCTGCTGGATTGTCTCATCCAGTACCTTCGTCTTCATGTGCAGTTGCTTCTTCCAGCGGGTATGGAATATCTCCAGTGATGGGTAGATTACCCACTGCTACCCATACTGCCACTAGTGGAATAGGTTTATGCCGTGGCCATCACACTTCTGAAGCTAACCCGGCAACCACCTGCCAATGCGCACGTGGCCCAACATTAGGTTCCATAGGCCTCAGTGCTAGTGGTGCAGCCAGTTTCACTATGGACCAACATGGAAACTGTTATGGGGCTTGTGTACATCCCCATCATTCACCTCATCACCACCACCATCATCACCATCACAGTTTGGCTCCTAGTCAGGGCCATCATCACCACCACCATCACTATTACCCACCAGAGTCTCCCCTTTATTACTCTGCTCTTCCTGCTCATCCATTGTTCCCACCCTACCCTCCTACATCCTTAACTTCAACTGCTTCATATCCAACACATCCATCTCTGTCTAGACTAAACCCCATTCACCAGAGGATATGGCATAGTCAGCAACGATATCAAGAGTTACAGAGACGTTGTTTGGACCCCCGGCTGCGCGAGCCCCTGGCTCAGTCCATGGCCAGAGCTGGAACTCTGACACAAGAAGTAGGGCAGCACAACCATGCTGGGGCCACTGCTACAAGTTTAGCCTCTCATACCCCCCACCAGCCCATTACTTCCCAGACCTCGACTACCTCCAGTAGCAGTGAACAGCAGGTTCCATCCCAGACCAGCTCCCCTTCAGCTCCCATGCCCATGGACATCCAGACTACTCCAAATGCCGCTCATACTGCAACACACATTGCAGCACATCACCTCCACCATCACCCAGGAATGGACGTTCTTATGCATAATGCTCATGCACACAGGTCAGTTGATCATGCTGTATTATATAAATATTGTATTTGTTTGGTATCTTGATAGAAGGAATTGGAGGTACCCTTCCCTTCCTTGGATCACACCTGATTACCTCTTCTTCCTCAGGTGCTAATGCATTTGGTATACTATGTAATAGGCTGTTGTGTTCTTATGTAACTAATGTATAGGACTAGAAATAAATTATGAAAATGTATCCTGTGTGTTTGTGTATTGTAGTTTGGAAAATCTTCAGAATTCAAATACTGTCAGGAGCAAAATAAATCTTAACGTCAATATAGAGTTTAGCGAGAATGAAAAGTCTGAAGTTATTTTAATGTGTATTTAGTCTTATCCATGAGATAGATAATTAGATAACATGAAAAGATAAATGTGTACTGTGGGTAAATAGGCATTAAAAGAGGTAGGGAGCTAGTTGGGTTTCAGAGAAGTTATGTAGAATATGCTAGTGGGACAGTTGTTTGGCGCAGTCACCTCACTTACGAGAAATATCATTTGTGGATCTCTTGTTTTGGACATTTTCTTAATAGCAATTTTGTAAGGTGGTCTACCAGACATATCTAAGTGTGTCATACAAGGAAGGGAGGGGGTGCGAGATTCCTCTTCACCACCCATTAGAACACTTTGCACCACTTATTCTTAAATTAATATGGCATTTTATATAACGGAAATATGCTGTATTGGGAAAAATTACATACAGGAGGGCCCCACTTTTACAGCAGGTTAGGTTCTGGGCCCCATTTATACAGCAGGTTATGTTTTGGGCTACCACTGTAAAGTGAATCGTAGCTTTTTTTTCACTTTTAAATGCATATAAAAGCCTGATAACAGGTTTACACTATCATATAGCTAGGCCTGAAAATACATATACAGTACACACATTACTTACCTTAAAATATTTTCATAGCTTATAGCAAGTGGTGAATATATTTATTGTAGTAAGTCTGAATAAATGAAGAATAGCTATAATTGAAAACTGCTGTATTAGTGAAGCACCATAAAGTGAAGCCCTGTAAAGTGAGTCCTGCCTGTACAAATATATGAGGAAGTATTTATTACACTAATAAAGAAAGTACGAGAATACAGAATTACTGGTAAACGTCAATACAGTAGGACCCCTGTATCCACAGGTCTGGTATCCACAGTTTCAGTTATCTGTGGTTTACTGTGGCCCAAAAATAGTCCTTAATTTTGCTTAATAATGACCTCAAAGTGCAAAAGTAGTGATGGTGAAAGCTCTTCGAAGCCCAAGAAAAGCTGTGAAGCGCTTTCCATCAGTGAACAAGTGTTAATTCTCCACTTATTATTCTTAATTTATTAATTAAAGTTTATAATAGGTATGTATAGGATTTGTATATAGTGTTCGCTACTCTTTGTGGGTGTGGCATCTGTGGCAGATCCTTGGAAAGTATCCCCCTGCAGATACAGGGATCCTACTGTATATATACAAGGCTAATGGGAGGGTTAAAAGTCACCTTTGTATTTAATTGAAAAAGGCCTACTGGGCAGAGAAAATGTTTTAGCAATATAATGCTTAAGTGTTACACGTGTGTCATATTTGTCTGGAAGAAAACTCATTAGTAAACCTATTATTTTAATTTTTTTTTTATTTTTTTTTACATTGTAACCTCCCACTCATTTCTCACCCCATTTCCGAGGAAGGTTAGACATTCGACGCCTCTGGTTAAGAATTGTGTGTTTCAGAGAGAATTTGCAGTAACTCCAAAGATGTTGAAATTGTCTTAAAGTATTCTGCAAGTTCTTTATAGTTTTTTAGCAGTGGCAGTTGTTTCAGCACTTTACTTCCAGTTTGAACATAGCTTGATATTTCAAAGCAAGTTGGTAGTACTGAGTGATCCTTTACTGCAGTGGTATTCATTGTGCGGCTCGCGATGACTCAATTCACGGCTCATGTCTACTTTTTCTCATTTACTATATTGCACTAGCAGCTCAGTACTACTTAATTTAGTTGAGTTACGCTAACTTGCAGTAGCTGCGGCTCTCTCAATGAATGTGTTTAACCGAAGTGGCTCTCTTGCAAAAATTAGTGAATACCACTGCTTTACTGGCTTTCAGTTTTCCCCGAACATAATTTATGCTCTAGAAACATATCACCTGAAGAGTGTCTCCTGAAGTTCAGTATGAATGAAAGTTACAAAGCTATCACATGAATAAACCACAAAATATCCACATTTTTTTTGAGGAAAAAGATGGTGTTTCAACACTTTCTGGGCCATTATCAGTTCACAACTTGATAATTTTCAAGATGTGCTGATATGTCATCTGTGTCTTCCATAATGTGTTAGTCACTTGTGACACCCCAACACATCCTCTTCAACATCAAAGATCAGTCTGTGGAAGAAAGGTGAATGTCAAGATCTGTCTCTTGGAATCCATTAAAGTATTTTAACAGGCCACACACAAATTTTTAGCCCCCTGGGCAATCTGTGAAGGTATACTTTTAGTATACGCTGCTGTATCCATGTTTATCTCTGAGGATAAATTGTGAGAGTTTATATAAATAACATTTTCCCAGCATCATTCTTGGTTGAAGTAAAGAATAACCAACAAGTGGTAAAAAAAAACACAAAGTAAAGAGAAACGTTTGTTACTATGAGGTTTCACCCATGAGGTTTCACCCATGTTTCACCCTGATAGAGCCTCACATAGGTGAGATGTCATACTACTAAGGCTCTCTTTTACTCTTGTGTATTTTTCCCAACCTCATTCTCAATAATAATTGTTAAAATTTGAACTTTTTTTTTTATATTCTTTCACAGATTGGCCAGAAGACTGAACATTGTTGATAGAGATTATGAGACTGCTCTCAGGATACGGCATGAAATTTTGTAAGCAAATTTGTGAAACCGTTTTTGAGATATTGACAAAAATAATATGGCTCACCTTCATCAGAGAATTTGGCTTTAAACCCAAAATTTTCTTTAGTTCTTTGTAACAAAGACCATTCAGCACATAGCTTGAGCATGGAAGATTGCAGTTCGTTTGTTTCTTCATCAAAACAAGAAAGCGATGGCCATTAGAAAAAAAAAAAACATATTACAGCTCTGAATGATTCATAAATGTTTAGGTTTTGTTGTAGATACTATACTAATAATTATACTGTGTATATATCAATGTTGATTTGGGATTATAGTAGTTCTCCCAGTTATGGCCCTAATACATTATTCTTTGTAATTCAGGTGCTCCTAACTCTGAACCTGTTATCCCATATGCACACACATCATATTGTATGTGTTCCCAAACCATTATATTCCTTATCTAATTCAATTAATTTTTTAAATGAGAATATTTGTGGAATATTTTACATTTGGTATTTGTTTATTTTCAACTGTAACTACAGGAAGCCCTCAGTATAACCAGACCTCAATTTAACGCACATCAGAAACATGAGACAAAATTTTCAATTAAATCACAGATTTACTTTGCTATGTATGTACATGTGTAGAAATTGTCTATGCAGTAACATTAAACTTTCACCACTTAGATATTTTCAAAATGAATTGAAATAGGAAGTATGGCTTCTGTTAGAGAATTTCCTGAAAGAAGAGTAAATAGAGTATGCAAAACCCTAATGGACAGTGATAAAAGCATTTCCTTGACCTTTCCCTTCCTTGGTGGAAGATTTATATTTTTATTTTTTCAATGCACTGGCCATCTCCCACCGAGAAGAAAAACTATAACTTTTCTTCTCACATTTAGTAATTTATACGGGAGAAGGGATTACCAGCCCCTTGCTCAAAAATGGGTAATATTAAAAAAAAAAAAGATCAACAATCTCAATAAATAACAAAAAAGGCACAATACCGTGACTGGAACGATTCATAAATAACCCGCACATAAAAGAGAGAAGCTTACGACGACGTTTCGGTCCGACTTGAACCATTTATCAACAATCTTTTAAGTCATGTGATACTCTGGATGCTCTCAGGTAAAAATGATAACACGGAAATTTTGTGATTTCTCTAATTAGCTGTAAAAAAAAAAAAAACTTTGAATTATACTTATCTCAAAAACGGTTAAAGATAATTAAAATATCTAAGTACAGTATTATCGTGGATTCCTTAATTAGACCAGAGGTTTCTTCAACTTTAAACCTCTTGTTATGTATCTTCGTATCATCATATAGTGTACTAAGGAACTAGACTCTCGAGGTATTTTCTATATACCTTGGATGAGTTTCTAGGTTTTTTTTAATCTTGAACCTCATCCTTGGGCCAGTAGTACAAATTTTGGTTAATGTTATTAAAAAGAACTTTTAAAATTACCTAGCACATGAAAATGCCATGATAATATGTGCTCTGCATTTTTGGATACACTTTTTATTTACATTTACAAGAAATAATGTGAATGTAGTGTGGTGGTTGATCAGGCTCTGATCCACCTGGTCACAGACCGGGCCGCGGGGGCGTTGACCCCCGGAACTCTCTCCAGGTAAACTCCAGGTAGTTTTAAAAGGTTTTACCAGTACTGTATTTGTACTCCATGTAGTACAGTCCCTGCAAAAATTTCACCACTTAGCAGACATAGAAAAGCAGAAAAAATTCAAGCAGAATTACCATAGTCTGGAACACGTTTTAAATGACATTTTTTATATGGATGCCCCCAAATTTTAGCTGTACTTCATCTCCTAGAATATTACCAACATCATTCTCCGTTCATTTTTCTTCAGTTGTTCTCTAGCTAGAACAAAGAAATTTTTGTAATTATGTTCATTTAATATCAGGTGCAATAATCAGAATTTCATACAGTACAATTTGTATTTAATAAATACAGCCCATCCTCACTTAATGACGGAGTTCCGTTCCTAAGACCATGTCGGTAAACAAATTCGTTGCTGAGTGAGAAGCATACTACACCTACCATCCGACTTACGACCGAGTTCAGTTCCGAGAAACTGGTCGTAAGTCGAAATGGACGTAAGTCGAATTTTACTACTGAATATCAACATCACATTTTTGTAATGACTTTATTTTATTGTTTTATTTTGGTATTTCATGTTTTACTTTACTTTTTAAGCTGTTAGTACTGTATTTTATACTGTAAGGTTTAGGATAAACACTGTGTACAACACAAATACTTGTTTATTTCCCAGAAATTTGGCATAAAAAACACGGTCGTAAGTCGAGTGGTCGTAAGTCGAGCAGGTTGTAAGTCGGATGGTAGGTGTATAATGGTAGTGAGTTTGTGTCAACCATCTTTGATATTGTTTTAATGTCACCTTTGCACCATTTATAACATTTCTGGTATATTTTTAAATGTTTATACAGTAGTGTACTGTATACTGAAATAAACAGAATAGAGGAAATCAGCTCTAATATACGTTATTTAGGTATGGATACTGGTCATCAGAGAGCCGTCATAAGTCCGAGGCATTGGTAAACGAGTACATCGCTAAGTGAGGAGAGGCTGTAACATGACATCTGTTTATCATGATATTTAGCATCAGTATGAATTTATGAATCTTGTGATTGAATTCTGTGACTCCAAAAACATTTATTTAGCAAGTGTCTGAATTTTTTTTTTGACATGTCAACAGTTTCCCATGGAGACAGGGAGACCCAAAAAGAAAGAAAAAACTTTAATCAACATTCAACACTTTCACCATCACTCTCACATAATCACTGTTTTTGCAGAGGCGCTCGGATACGATAGCTCAGACGTCCCACTAAACTGCCAATATCCCAAACCAACTATGTTAGGTAAAAGAACACAAGTGCAGCTAATATGACATATTGTGGCAACGTTTCGCTCTCCAGGAGCTTTGTCAAGCTGTTATGACTTGACAAAGCTCCTGGAGAGCAAAATGTTGCCACAATAAAATATCATATTAGTTGTACTTGTGTCCTTTCACCTAACATGACACACATTAAAGACCAAGTTAATGAATCAGTTTTTAAGCCCTCAATAATTATTTAATATTTATAAAAAATTTATAGAATAATGGCACGACTATGAGAGCCTGTGTAAAGGCTCGTGCAAGACCTAGGAAGAGGATATTTTTTGGCTGGTAAGGGTAGGAAGAGGTTAATACCAGCAGCACATTAATGGAGCTAGGAAAACAGCTGGGGAAGGGAGAATCTCATTACTGGGATCAGAAACTCTTTCGAAGAACTTTTTTGTTTTCCCGCACCTCTTGATTTCATCTCAACTTTTGACCATCTAACTAACTGTATGTAACAGATGGAGAGTGGATAAGCAATGTTTCCTGTCAGCTTCTGGCATGACCAGGGCAAAATGATGTACATACAGTACTCTAATGTATATTCACAGTATGAGAAGCTGAATGCCTTTTGAGTGACAGTCATAATGATTTGGGGATAAAAAAAAAACTTATTTTTCAATTTTTATTATGTACTGTATAATGTAATAAGTAATTGAATATTAGTGATAAGATTACCTTGAATAGGAAATTGCAAGAAATTTGTCTTCGTGATCTGGCATTGCAATATTTAATATGACATTAACATATAAAATAAACTAAAAGAGGAGGCAGTTAGGGTAAGATATAAACAGCTATTGGAGGACAGATGGGCTAATGAGAGCATAGGCAATGGGGTCGAAGAGGTATGGGGTAGGTTTAAAAATGTAGTGTTAGAGTGTTAAGCAGAAGTTTGTGGTTACAGGAAAGTGGGTGCGGGAGGGAAGAGGAGCGATTGGTGGAATGATGATGTAAAGAGAGTAGTAAGGGAGAAAAAGTTAGCATATGAGAAGTTTTTACAAAGTAGAAGTGATGCAAGGAGGGAAGAGTATATGGAGAAAAAGAGAGGGGTTAAAGAGAGTGGTGAAGCAATGTAAAAAGAGAGCAAATGAGAGAGTGGGTGAGATGTTTATCAACAAATTTTGTTGAAAATAAAAAAGTTTTGGAGTGAGATTAACAAGTTAAGGAAGCCTAAAGAACAAATGGATTTGTCAGTTAAAAATAGGAGAGGAGAGTTATTAAATGGAGAGTTAGGGGTTTTGGGGAAGATGGAGGGAATATTTTGAGGAATTGTTAAATGTTGATGAAGATAGGGAAGCTGTGATTTGTGTAAAAGGGCAAGGAGGAATAACAACTTGTAGGAGTGAGGAAGAAACCAGTTTTGAGTGTGGGGGAATTTCGTGAGGCAGTAGGGAAAATGAAAGGGTAAGGCAGCCGGATTGGATGGGATAAAGATAGAAATGTTAAAAGCAGGTGGAGATATAGTTTTGGAGTGGTTGTGCAATTATTTAATAAATGTATGGAAGAGGGTAAGGTACCTAGGATTGTCAGAGAGCATGCATATTCCTTGTATAAAGGCAAAGGGGACAAAAGAGAGTGCAAAAATTAAAGGGGATAAGTCTGTTGAGTATACCTGGTAAAGTGTATGGTAGAGTTATTATTGAAAGAATTAAGAGTAAGACGGAGAATAGGATAGCAATGAACAAGGAGGCTTTAGGAAAGGTAGGGGGTGTGTGGACCAGGTGTTACAGTAAAACATAAAGTGAACAGTATTTAGATAAGGCTAAAGGGGTCTTTGTGGCTTTTAAATGGATTTGGAAAAGCATATGACAGGGTGGAAAAGGGGGCAATGTGGCAGATGTTGCGGGTGAAATGGTGTAGGAGGTAGGTTACTGAAAGCAGTGAAGAGTTTTTACAAGGATAGTGAGGCTCAAGTTAGAGTATTAGGAAAGAGGGAAATTATTTCCCAGTAAAAGTAGGCCTTAGACAAGGGAGTGTGATGTCACCGGGGTTGTTTAAATTTTTTATGGATGGTTGTAAGAGAATAAATGCGAGGGTCTTGGCAAGAGCATGGAGTTAAAAGATAAAGAATCACACATAAAGTGGGAGTTGTCACAGTTGCTCTTTGCTGATGACACTGTGCTCTGGGGGAATTTTGAAGAGAAGTTGCAGAGGGTTTGGGGGATGAATTTGGAGGTATGCAAAAAAGAAAAAATTAATAGTGAATACAGGAAAGAGTAAGGTTATGAGGATAACAGAAAGATTGGGTGATGAATGATTGGGTATCAGATTGGAGGGAGAGAGTATGGAGGGGGTGAATGTATCAGATATTTGGGAGTGGACGTGTCAGCGGAAGGGTCTATGAAGGGTGAGGGAAAACATAGAATTGATGAGGGAAAAAGGGTGAGCAGTGCACTTAGGGGTCTGTGGAACAAAGAACTTTTTCCTTGGAGGCAAAGAGGGAATGTATGAGAGTATAGTTTTAAACCCAAAGCTCTTAAATGGGTGAAGCATGGGTGATGAATGTTGCAGCGAGGAGAAGGCTGGAGGCAGTGGAGATGTCATGTCTGAGGGCAATGTGTGGTGTGAATATAATGCAGAGAATTCGTAGTTTGGAAGTTAGGAGGAGGTGCGGGATTACCAAAACTGTTGTCCAGAGGGCTGAGGAAGGGTTGTTGAGGTGGTTCGGACATGTAGAGAGAATGGAGCCAAACAGAATGACTTCAAGAGTGTATCAGTCTGTAGTGGAAGGAAGGTGGGGTAGGGGTTGGCCTAGGAAAGGTTGGAGGGAGGGGGTAAAGGAGGTTTTGTGTGCGAGGGGCTTGGACTTCCAGCAGGCATGTGTGAGCATGTTTGATAGGAGTGAATGGAGACAAACGGTTTTTAATACTTGATGTGCTGTTGGAGTGTGAGCAAAGTAACATTTATGAAGGGATTCAGGGAAACCGGCAGGCCGGACTTGAGTCCTGGAGATGGGAAGTACAGTGCCTGCACTCTGAAGGAGAGGTGTTAGTGTTGCAGTTTAAAAACTGTAGTGTAAAGCACCCTTCTAGCAGGACAGTGATGGAGTGAATGATGGTGAAAGTTTTTCTTTTTTGGGCCACCCTTCCTTGGTGGGAATCGGCCAGTGTGCTAATAATAATAAAAATATAAAATAAGCACAGTGGACAAGTTTCTCCATTAACCCTTTGACTGTTTTCGACGTATAAATACGTCTTACGAGCCAATGTTTCTGACGTATATATACTCAATAATTCTAGCGGCTTCAAATCAAGCGGGAGAAAGCTGGTAGGCCCACATGTGAGAGAATGGGTCTGTGTGGTCACTGTGCACCACATAAAAAAAATCCTGCAGCACACATTGTGTAATGAGAAAAAAAACCTGATCGTTTTTTTGGAATAAAACGCCGACTTTGAGGTGTATTTTCGTATAGTATTTATCGTTGTATTCGCGTTTTCATAGTCTTAGGTGATAAAATTAAAAACATATTACAGAAATAGTGATGATTTTCATTACTTTGACGATGAAAACGACCTTGAAACTGAGCTCAAAGTAGCGGAAATGTTCGATTTTTACCAATGTTCAGGAGTAAATAAATCACACCACATGTCCAATACACGTCAACTGGGGAGTCTAATATTCTTTCACTAGTTCACTGATATTATTTATACCATTTTTACAATAATGCAGTAGTCTGCATAACAGTAAATTTTGTATTTTTTTGTATGAATAAAAAATCAAAATAGAAAGCAATAATAATATGAGGGGCCTAGAGATGTGACTAATGAACAGAGCATATGCTATTTTAGTGCCATGAATGTCTACCTTGTTTATTCTGGACCCTATTTTGAAATTGGCATCTTTTTTAATTTGCGTGAAATTGGCCAAATTGCCAATTTCTGACCACCATATTGGGTAGTCCAAATTAGTAAATGGGAAGTTTCTTGTACTCAGCTGATAGATAAAATGGAGTTCTAAAATAGCTATGAGTTTGGTCAACTGGAACAATGTAATTGGCAGAAGATAGGGCTCAAAGTCGGCGAAATCGCCGATACGCATATGTCGCCGAGACAGCTAACTTCACGGGAGCATAATTCCATGAGTTTTCGACCAAATTTCGAACTTTTGGTGTCATTACCATCGGGAAAGGATTCTCTATCATTTCATAAGAAAAAAATATTTTTTTTTTTTCAAAAATTGAGCGACATAGAATGACAGTTTCAGAAAGGGGCCTGAAACAGTCAACGGGTTAAGGAGGGAGTTGTTCAGTGCGCTCAAGAAAAAAATCAAGAAATTATGGAAAATGAGTTATTCATACAGAAAAATAGATTAACTCTTTGGCAACACAATGGTACAAGATTCAATGTTCTACAACGTTTCTACAAGAAATTATAGTCATTTATATCAGGTATGGTGGCGGCGATGTAGGTAGCGAGTCTGCTCTCAACCCATATATTTTTTTGAATTTTTTCCTTGTTTTTTTATCGCTTTTTCTTTGCATTATTCTTTCTAATATAATAATTGATTATTTGGCATCATATAAGAGTAGGTGGAACTTATCAGTAGATGTCTAGCCTATCAGGAAGCACCTGGGTACACTCGGCAGTGCTCCCTCTCCAGACGGCGGCAGGTGAAATCACTTCATTATTACGCTTATATCAGCTTATATATTAACTATACGGCTTATTTATCATTCAGAATTGATCTAATATGTTATAATAATCACTATAAATAACAAACAAACTTGTTATATACTCTAGACTGAATAAAATAGGCCATAATATAGCGAGAGTCCTCCGCAATATTTCGATATAAATGAGTTACTCCTCGTCTCCTTGTTGTATTGTTTGGTGTCTGAGTAAGAGAAAACGGTGTTTTGAAGAGGATAACTGCACTAGAACATCAGTTTACTAAGAAATACACCGAAACAAACGCGATTTCCTCACAAAAAAAAAAATTTTTTTTGAGACGGTAGGCCGGCAGACGTTCTAGGCCTATATCTCGGAAGTAACTTATTCACTTATTTCGCTTTACAACTCCATTATTAATGATTGTATTGAAATGATTTTCACAGACAATATAAAACAAAGTGTGTTTGAATTATTAACGTCAGATTTTTTGGAATATCTCAAATATTTTTTATTTTATGGGGGTAAAAGGCAGATATTTTGGCGAATGCCAAAAATTCTGTCAAATGTATTTTTTTTACCATGATAATAAGATATATTAGATGAAATGGCAATGTAAAAACGTCATGCTAGTTGTATTCTAACAGTTGGGAATGTCGGAAGTGCCACTCGTAGTGCCAATTTGTCAGGTCATGCTGCCATATATAAAAATTATGTTTATTTTTTTTTCTCTGCTGTTTGTTGGCCAATCATACTGAAACTTTGTCACATGCTTCTACATATGCACCTCTAAAAGTACACCAAAAATAAAATAAATCGGTTGAAAAATAATAAAAAAAAAATTAAAGATGGGGTGCCTGGTTACAGCTTGGTTGATCAGAAAAGTCATCAGAAAAGTTTGATTTCAGACTGAGGTGTGAGAGTAGAACAACTCACAAGTATGTAATAAGTAGGAAGGTACAGTGTACCTCCACTTTTGACTTGTGGTGGGCCTCACTACTCAACTAGTGCTTACATAATGTACTGTCATTTTACAGTGACTTCTCTCCACAGTATCACTACTGCTGATTTTTCATCTTTTACTGCCCCTAAAGCAGCATCAGTCATAATATCCACCTTCAGTGTCATTCCTCGTTCTACAGACTAGTATCAGCATCTCTTCTTGTCTCAGCTTTTCTAGCTATGGCTTTTGTCTAGTGGAGGAGAAAAATATAATGAAAGGTTAAAAGGAGTAGACACAAAGCAAAATGAAGCATAAAGTACCAGTACTGTTCATGAAAGGTGCTGTTAATACAAGCCAAACACTTGGATGTGTACACACAAACCCACACATTTCCAGGGGTAGGTTTGTAGAGGTCCCATTGAATTCTGAATCTGTAGGTATCACTAAATAATGACTACATAAAATAAATTTTGTTTCAGATTTGGGTTCATTGTGTGTTCCAGAGGAATTTTTTTTTTCTTAAATTAGTGCTATGATCTGGTTAACATTGGCAATAATAAGAAAGAATACACCAGAGAAAAAAAAATCTGGGCATGCAAAAATCATTGAGCACTTTTGGTGAAATCCTTTGGTTAGTTTTCAGTTTAAACTATTTGCAGGCCATTCAGTAAAAATGTTTGTTTAACCCGTAAATGGTCCAAACGTATATATACGTTTTTTCAACATTTGAAAGTATGTAAAAAAGTAGATCTTATTTTTGTTTTTTTACATTTGAAAATGTGTAAAAAAAACGTAGATCTACTTTTGTAGCACTACGCATGTGAACGTAGATCTGCTTGGACCGTTTACGGGTTAACTGAGGTACAGTACACAAAATTGTGGTTTATGATGTATAGGTGTCTCTCTGTGGCAGACGCTTTCCAGGTCCATGGTAGCTGAAGTATTCTCAGTCAGGTCATCAAGCACACTAATTCTTTATTGCAGGAATCTTCATTACATTTTGCAGACTGCATTGATTGCATATGGTGAATTTATGTCACATACTTCACAAATAATGAACATCTGTAAAGAAGTGATTGCCATGCAATGGTTAGAGAAATTATTGGCTAGATCTAAGCAGAGGAGTATATTAAAAAGACACTTATAGGGTAAGATTTTGTGGTTGTATTGCTTGTTATAATAGGTGAATCAAAACTTAAGATCATTTGTATGTGTAAGTTTAGTTACATTTGACTTTAGATTTAATACAGAATTTATCATTAAAATTAATGCATATTAAATTCTTGACAGTGAGGGTGGTGGGTTATATGGCCACATGTATGGTGGAGCTGTACCTCCAGCTCACATGTCCATGCCTGCTGCTGCCGCTGCTGCAGCTGCAGCGGCAGCAGCAGCAGCTGCAGCAGCTGCAGCAAGCGGTGACCCAAGACACCTGCAGATGCCCGGACCTGGCTTGCATATAAATATTGGGGGCGGGTCTCAGCTACCCTTGGACCTGTCCTTACCTCCCACTTTAACCCCAGAGCTGCCTCCTCCACCTAGACTCACCTACATACCTCAGGTACCTTGTGCATTGCATCATCATATCTGTAAATTTTCATTAACCTTATTGACATGTAAGTTACAATAAAAACAATTGTACGTATATGCATTTGATACATACCTGATATGTGTTCATAGTTGTAAGCAATATTTTTTGGAAAGACTATTCTACCATTTTCATAACTATTTTATTTTTTTAGCTTCCATTATTCCAACGAGGGTCTGCATTCCCTCGTTTGGAAGATTACATGCGTGTTGTTGACCACCGACGCCTTCCTGTGGTGACGCGAGGAGCCACTCAGAACACAATAGAACGCAACACTTTCCCCCACAAATACAAGAAGGTAAGGGAGGTAATACACGCACCAAACGGATGTGTTTGAAGAAGTAGATGGTTAAACAAACTTTATTTCTTTCTGCAGTATACAAAATGTAGTTTCCACGTAATAAAATATTGTTAAGCACAAAAGAAAGCGACTAGCATACTGCGCATTTTGGGCAGACTAATCTTAATTCTTACAGACTACTTAAGTTAGGTAAGACACACATGCAACAGTTAGGTATCTTTATTTCGAAACGTTTCGCCTACACAGTAAGCCTACTGTGTAGGCGAAACATTTCGAAATAAAGATACCTAACTGTTGCATGTGTGTTTTACCTAACAACCTGTCGGTATTTTATACCATTCGAATGTTCAGACTACTTAAGGACTAGACATAGGTTATTGAGGAGGAGGTACCTAATTACTGGCAAAATAATGCTTTTTGTTAGATATGGGTGTCTCATTACTGATAAAATAATAATTCTTATTAAATATGGATGGCTAATTACTGGGAGAATAATATTTCTTGTTAGATATGGATGACTAATTGCTGGCAGAATTAAACTTTCTTATAGAAGACATCTATCTTTAAAAATTTGAGAGGTGATGTTGGGTTTACTGTGTAAAATAGGTTGTAGCATAAATTATCCAGTGTCTTGAATAATAGCAAAGACAGATAAGCTATATTGTACTAGCATTTAGATGTTTTAAAGTAGCTTTTGCGTAAGTATAAAAAACACAAATTTGCAAATCAGTCATTGCATGGGTTTATTGATCTCATGGAAATGACGATATCATCATCATCTCCAATTTGCAATTAGCTAGAGCAGGGATTCTTATTCATACCCTTTGGGGGTGTGGGACTAGATCTCTGAACAATTTAAAAAAAAATTACATTTGAATAGACTATCAGCTGTTCTGTTGCTAGCTATACTGGTACCTGATAGGACTGGTGGTGGTGGTGATTTCAACAGTCTGGTGAAGGGAGTAGGTGACATTGGGCAGCCCATTGAGGGTCTGTAATTGTTAAAATGGTTAAGTACCTCTGGGTTAAAGCATTACTTAGAGATTCCCAAATGAAATGTTGTAGGCACTGAGAAGTTGCTCACCTTGAGTAGAAAGTGAATTGCCTGTTTCCCAGACTTTCAATCCTTTTTTTAAATTCATGGCCTCCTTAGGGTAATCAGATGTTAAAAGGAGGATAAACTAAGGAAGTGGGTTTGGAGGTGCTGGAGGGCCTGGAGGGCCTTAGTGGATAGGAAAATATTAAAAGCAGAGCATATAGGGAATTAGTTGTTGGAGTGTTAGCAAAGTAACATTTATGAAGGGATTCAGGGAAACTGGTTATCCGGATTTGAGTTCTGAAGATGGGAATTACAGTGCCTGCACTCTGAATGAGGGGTGAGGATATTTGCAGTTTTGAACTGGAGTATCAGTGTGTGTCTGGTAAAACAATGATGGAGTGATAGGCAACCCTGCCTTGGTGGGAAACAGCTGTGTTAAAAGAATAATTATCTGATGTAATTATAAGAGATAGAGGTGTCTGTGGTGTCCTAGCTTCAGGAATTAGTGTATCAAAGTTTTTTAAAAGTTCTTGCAGTTGTAGGACTTATCTCCTCTCATAACCCATCCCATTGTTTGAAAGGTACATAAAATAAACTTAAGGACTTATGGTCGTAGCATACACGAGGATAACTTTTTACCTTTTATTGCCTGAATTTTGTTTTTTGAGAGCAGGCATGTCATCCCATGTGAATAATGCAACTCTTATGAGACAGAAAATAGGGGTGTTAGTATTAGAGGGCTTAGAACCTGCCGTATTTCGCGGCTTATTAGACTATTTTTTTTCCATAAAATGTCTCCAAAAACCACCCTGCATCCTATAAACTGAAGGTCAGTGATGGGAGCTATAAGTTTGGGGTGTGGGGTGGGCTGTAGCTCTCCCATTTACATCTGATGCCAAGCCAGTGAAACTAAAAGAAGTCTTATAAGCCGCGAAATACGGTACTTTGAATTGTTGCTATTATTATATATCCTGCGGTGTATACTTTCTTGCTACTCCACAGAGAGCAGTTTAGAAAATTAATTGTTGAAAAGTTAGCTATTCATTCTCTCTCCATCTAGTACTGTTGCTCTTTCTTTTATATAATGGAGATGTTCCAGAACCATGGTAGTTGTGCTAAGCTCACTCATGCCATTAACACTTAATTCTTTATAATAATAATGTTCACTATACATTATGAACTCCATTGATCATATATGGCATATGTATATGAATTACCATTAGAAATGGGACATTCACATTAGAAATTTCACATTACACAATCCTCTCCTTAATGTAAGGGGAAATCATTACATCTTGATGGGGGACCTCTTACTGAGCTCTTTCTTCTAGTGTCATCAACAAACTGGTTTTGAGATTTTATTATTTTTTCCTTATTCTCTGATGCATCAAGTTAGGAAATATTGAAGGCAAAATCTACTGCTGGTAATGCTTTAATTGCATGTGACGGTGTGATGTAGTGTTGAAAAAAATAAGAAAATAACATCATTAGGCTGTTGAAAGATCTTAGCAGTTGGAGGTATTGCTAATTATATTATTGTGAACTACAATATTTGTATTTGAAGCTCTTATACCTTGCCAAATGTTAATCCTACAAACCAGGAAATGGGTGGGGTTCAAGAACATGGTGAGTCCTGAAACTCCAGGCTGGTGTAAGCCACTTCGCCAGAATGACATGTGGCTTACGCATTGGCCTGGAGTTTTACGACTCGCCATGGTTTCAAACCCCACTGTTATGTGTTTTTTCAGTTGTGTTATTACAACTTCGTTAATATTACAGAATGTTTTTAATTAGACAGTAATTGTTTCATTAATATGTCCACTGCAGATGAAGCGTGCAGATGTTACTGAAGATGGTTTGGAGAAATGTACCATCTGTCTATCTGAGTTTGAGGAGGAGGAAGATGTGCGAAGGCTCCCATGCATGCATCTTTTCCATATAGAGTGTGTTGACCAGTGGCTAGCAACCAACAAGCGCTGTCCTATCTGTAGGGTGGATATTGAGGCTCATCTGACGAAGGACTACACTGCCACATCCTCATGAAATCAATTCTCTAGTAAGAGTGGAATATCTTGAAGCCACCCCATTCATGTCATTGTGCTTGTGAGGTGACAGTGGAGAACTCACCAGTCCTTCCCTGCACCTGGTAGAGCATGTTAAGGTTCCTACTTATTACAACTCTAAAAACAATACTTTCACAGCACAGAACATTGGATGATTTGGGGAAGATTTCCCACTTACTAGAGGTTATAAAGAAATACTTACATGAAATGGCTTATTGCAAGTAGGCTGATGATAAATCCTCCTAAGGCTAGAATTAAGAGCGTGAAGCCTCAAGTGGTGCTTCACACAGGCAGGATCCTCACTGCACTGGGCAGGACAAGCTTCTGCTGGACCTTATTATAGTGACCAGCTTCAGGGACATTGCTTGCTTGTGTCTTCATTACTGTGGAGATTCCTACCTACTGTGCCAGTGCAAGAACTTATGGTTTACATTATAATTCAGAATGTTATAATTCTCCCTTAGAAATACATGTATACAATAAATTGTGTGATGTTCACACACAGACATGCACACACAATTTTGGTAAAAAGTGACATAGGACAGTTGCACCAGATAATTTGACAAATTTATCCGTTGTAGTATTTATATTCAACTAAAAAAACATAGCCCTATATGTACTGTATATATAAATAAAACAATTGATGTAGCATGATCTGATTTGCACTAATAGTAACTGAATCAGTGCTGGAGAACCAACGACTTTAGTCTTATATAACAATATTAACTTTTAAATCTGGCCTAACTTAAACGGATTCTGCATATAGTTTTGTTTAGTCAACTTGCATAATATAATTAAATGATATTTTCACAGACCCTTCAAAGGTGGTGGTGTGATGAAGGGCTCTTGATCCAAGGAAGTGGAGCTACTCTTCCCTTCCTCAAATTGCCTTCAATTCCCCAGATGCTGTACGACCCCTGCTATTTAGCGCTTCCCCATGAACATATTTACACCGGGACTACAGTTGTTTTGTTTTCAGTCGTTACAGGATTAGGACAATTTCTATTTACAGGTGAGGTGGCATATTTCACCATGTAGAGATAAATTTCATATTGTACTGGTCAAAATATTTGTCATTTGTGCCAGTGTGCAGATTTCTTTGTTGTAAGATAAAAGTTAAAAAGAAAAAATATACTTAGTGAAATTATGGCCACTTTGAGGAGTTTTACCATATATTGTGTGTGTGTGTCTGCTTTACATATGCATATATGAGTAAACATATATACACATCCACTTATACATACAATATATACATTATACATGTTACAGGCAGTGACTTGCTATATAAATCATCACATATCTTCCATATCTTATTAAGATTTTGGATTGTTTGTTACATTGTCAGCTAATGCTACTTGTATAAAAGTTGGCCAAAGTAGTCAGTAGAATTGCCCTTGTGTTTGGAAGATGCAAAAACTGTTAATGTTTGTAAGTCGTGCAATACCAAGGAAACTGAGTGTGTTACAAAGGATGGTTCAACACGTGCATATGATTAGCAGCAGCAGCAGCAGCAGTTATAGACAGTGTATGATTTATGGGACTGCCATGATGAGGTGTGTTCTTATTGTATAAGGGCATGCATTTTGAAAAGTGCAAAAAAAAAAAAAGTGTATGTACTGTAGCCAAAACTTATTTGAAACGGGTGTATTCTAATGAAGAAAAGCATAGCTAAATATGAATGGGGGCAAGACAGAACTGTGTTGGTAGTCTGTTTAGATGTTGGAGCCAAGTTGAGTATAAAATGGACATGAGGGGCATTTGACGCTCTGCATTGAAGAAGGAACAGCCTCCATTTGCTACTAACTAGGTCTGAATTATCAAGCTGTAGATAATGCATCATAAATATTGAAGTAATATAGCCAAAACAATATTTGTTTAGCTCTAGGCTGCCAGATTGTTTGTATAAGTAAGGCATTTGTATTGACAGTTAGGAAAACTTTTGAATTCTGTTTAACTTTAAATTGACCTAAGGCAGAGGAGACCATATGACATATTTGCAATTGGTATGAGGTTATTTGTTCTTCAGTTTGACCTGTTTCCTAGAGATTGGGATGAAGCTCCTACAGTCCTCACAAACTCAGGTATGGTGCAGAAATAGTCAAGTATGCCATAGGTACACTACCAGTGTGAATGTTTGTTGCTGCAGGAACTTGGTGCACATCTAAGACTGACTGCAGAGTTCTCATTTATTTATGGCGAGCTGATTGAATGTGATACTTTTAACATAGAATAGTTTGCATGTGATAAACAGTATATTTTATTTTATTGTGGTTGTATTTTTTCCCTTCTCATCCCTTAACCCTTAAACTGCATCGCATAGATGTAGGACCATGTGGGGAACTGGATGTGAGGCAGATCAACAAAATAAATTTCACGGGTTTAAATTAAGTTAGTTGTGATTATATATATATATATATATATATATATATATATATATATATATATATATATATATATATATATATATATTTTTTTTTTTTTTTTTTTTTTTTTTTTTTTTTCAACAAGTCGCCGTCTCCCACCGAGGCAGGGTGACCCAAAAAAAGAAAGAAAATCCCCAAAAAGAAAATACTTTCATCATCATTCAACACTTTCACCACACTCACACATTATCACTGCTTTTTGCAGAGGTGCTCAGAATACAACAGTCTAGAAGCATATACTATAAAATACACAACATATCCCTCCAAAGTGCCAATATCCCAAACCCTTCCTTTAAAGTGCAGGCATTGTACTTCCCATTTCCAGGACTCAAGTCCGACTATATGAAAATAACCGGTTTCCCTGAATCCCTTCACTAAATATTACCCTGCTCACACTCCAACAGATCGTCAGGTCCCAAGTATCATTCGTCTCCATTCACTCATATCTAACACGCTCATGCACGCTTGCTGGAAGTCCAAGCCCCTACCCACAAAACCTCCTTTACCCCCTCTTCCAACCCTTTCGAGGAGCCCCCTACCCCTCTTCCTTCCCCTATAGATTTATATGCTTTCCATGTCATTCTACTGTGATCCATTCTCTCTAAATGACCAAACCACCTCAACAACCCCTCTTCTGCCCTCTGACTAATGCTTTTATTAACTCCACACCTTCTCCTAATTTCCACACTCCGAATTTTCTGCATAATATTTACACCACACATTGCCCTTAGAACAGGACATCCTTGCCTCCAACCGTCTCCTCGCTGCTGCATTTACCACCCAAGCTTCACACCCATATAAGAGTGTTGGTACTACTATACTTTCATACATTCCCTTCTTTGCCTCCATAGATAACGTTTTTTGACTCCACATATACCTCAACGCACCACTCACCTTTTTTCCCTCATCAATTCTATGATTAACCTCATCCTTCATAAATCCATCCGCCGACACATCAACTCCCAAGTATCTGAAAACATTCACTTCTTCCATACTCCTCCTCCCCAATTTGATTTCCAATTTTTCTTTATCTAAATCATTTGACACCCTCATCACCTTACTCTTTTCTATGTTCACTTTCAACTTTCTACCTTTACACACATTCCCAAACTCATCCACTAACCTTTGCAATTTTTCTTTAGAATCTCCCATAAGCACAGTATCATCAGCAAAAAGTAACTGTGTCAATTCCCATTTTGAATTTGATTCCCCATAATTTAATCCCACCCCTCTCCCGAAACACCCTAGCATTTACTTCTTTTACAACCCCATCTATAAATATATTAAACAACCATGGTGACATTTCACATCCCTGTCTAAGACCTACTTTTACCGGGAAGTATTCTCCCTCTCTTCTACACACCCTAACCTGAGCCTCACTATCCTCATAAAAGCTCTTTACAGCATTTAATAACTTACCACCTATTCCATATACTTGCAACATCTGCCACATTGCTCCTCTATCCACTCTATCATATGCCTTTTCTAAATCCATAAATGCAATAAAAACTTCCCTACCTTTATCTAAATACTGTTCACATATATGGTTCAATGTAAACACTTGATCTACACATCCCCTACCCACTCTGAAGCCTCCTTGCTCGTCCGCAATTCTACATTCTGTCTTACCTCTAATTCTTTCAATTATAACCCTACCGTATACTTTTCCTGGTATACTCAGTAAACTTATTCCTCTATAATTTTTACAATCTCTTTTGTCCCCTTTCCCTTTATATAAAGGGACTATACATGCTCTCCGCCAATCCCTAGGTACCTTCCCCTCTTTCATACATTTATTAAACAAAAGTACCAACCACTCCAACACTATATCCCCCCCTGCTTTTAACATTTCTGTCATGATCCCATCAGTTCCAGCTGCTTTACCCCTTTCATTCTACATAATGCCTCACGTACCTCCACCACACTTACATTCTGCTCTTCTTCACTCCTAAAAGATGGTATACCTCCCTGGCCAGTGCATGAAATTACCGCCTCCCTTTCTTCCTTAACATTTAAAAGTTCCTCAAAATATTCTCGCCATCTACCTAATACCTCCCCTCTCCCCATCTACTAACTCCCCTACTCTGTTTTTAACTGACAAATCCATACTTTCCCTAGGCTTTCTTAACTTGTTTAACTCACTCCAAAATTTTTTCTTCATTAAAATTTCTTGACAGTGCATCTCCCACTCTTTCATCTGCTCTCCTTTTGCACTCTCTCACCACTCTCTTCACCTTTCTTTTACTCTCCATATACTCTGCTCTTCTTATAACACTTCTGCTTTGTAAAAACCTCTCGTAAGCTACCTTTTTCTCTTTTATCACACCCTTTACTTCATCATTCCACCAATCACTCCTCTTTCCTCCTGCCCCCACCCTCCTATAACCACAAACTTCTGCCCCACATTCTAATACTGCATTTTTAAAACTATTCCAACCCTCTTCAACCCCCCACTACTCATCTTTGTACTAGCCCACCTTTCTGCCAATAGTTGCTTATATCTCGCCCGAACTTCCTCCTCCCTTAGTTTATACACTTTCACCTCCCTCTTACTTGTTGTTGCCTCCTTCCTTTTTCCCATCTACCTCTTACTCTAACTGTAGCTACAACTAAATAATGATCCGATATATCAGTTGCCCCTCTATAAACATGTACATCCTGGAGCCTACCCATCAACCTTTTATCCACCAATACATAATCTAATAAACTACTTTCATTACGTGCTACATCATACCTTGTATATTTATTTATCCTCTTTTTCATAAAATATGTATTACTTATTACCAAATTTCTTTCTACACATAGCTCAATTAAAGGCTCCCCATTTACATTTACCCCTGGCACCCCAAATTTACCTACTACTCCCTCCATAACATTTTTACTCACTTTAGCATTGAAATCCCCAACCACCATTACTCTCACACTTGATTCAAAACTCCCCACGCATTCACTCAACATTTCCCAGAATCTCTCTCTCTACTCTACACTTCTCTCTTCTCCAGGTGCATACACGCTTACTATAACCCACTTTTCACATCCAATCTTTATTTTACTCCACATAATCCTTGAATTTATACATTTGTAGTCCCTCTTTTCCTGCCATAGCTTATCCTTCAACATTATTGCTACTCCTTCTTTAGCTCTAACTCTATTTGAAACCCCTGACCTAATCCCATTTATTCCTCTCCATTGAAACTCTCCCACCCCCTTCAGCTTTGTTTCACTTAAAGCCAGGACATCCAGTTTCTTCTCATTCATAACATCCACAATCATCTCTTTCTTATCATTTGCACAACATCCACACACATTCAGACTTCCCACTTTGACAATTTTCTTCTTCTTATTCTTTTTAGTAATCTTTACAGGAAAAGGGGTTACTAGCCCATTGTTCCCGGCATTTTAGTTGACTTTTACAACACGCATGGCTTACGGAGGAAAGATTCTTATTCCACTTCCCCATGGATATAAAAGGAAAAGTAATAAGACCAAGAACTATAAAGATAAAATCAAAGAAAACTCAGATGAGTTTGTATAAATAAACGTGTACATGTATGTGTAGTGTGACCTAAGTGTAAGTAGAAGTAGCAAG